CCCCGCCAGATGCTGTCTTGCTCTGTTGCCCAGGCTGGAGTGCACTGCCTCGATGATCTTGGCTCACTGCAACCTCCACCTCCTGGGTTCAAGTGATTCTTCTGCCTCAGCCTCCCAAGTAGCTGGGATGACAGTCACCCGCCACCATGCCCGGCTAATTTTCTGGATTTTTAGTAGAGTTAGGGTTTTACCATGCTGGCCAGGCTGGTCAGCTTCTGACCTCATGATCCACCTGCCTCGGCCTCCCAAAGTGCTGGGATTACAGGCATGAGCCACCACACATGGCCTCAGGTGCTACTACTTAATGTTACCTAGATGCAGAGCCTCAACTCTGTTGCCCAGACTGGAGTGCAGTGGTGAGATCTTGGCTCACAGCAACCTCTACCTCCCAGGTTCAAATGCTTCTCCTATTTGTCTCCTGAGTAGCTGGGATTACAGGTGCACACCGCCATACCTGGCTAATTTTTGTATCTTTAGTAGAGATGGGGTTTTACCATGTGACTAGGCTGGTCTCAAACTCCTGACCTCAAGTGATCCACCCACCTGGGCCTCCCAAAGTGCTGGAATTATAGGCGTGAGTCACCCTGCCTGGCCCCTAACATTTAAAAAAATTAGCTAGGTGGTGCATGCCTGTAATCCCAGCTACTCAGGAGGCTGAGGCAGGAGAATTGCTTGAAGCTAAGAGGCAGAGGTTGCAGTGAGCCAAGATCATGCCACTGCACTCCAGGGTAACAGACTGTCTCAAAAAATAAACGAGATGATACCTCATACCATTCTAAATCCTTCAGATTAGGGCTACAGCTGTCATGGTAGAATGGTAAGGAGGAGAAAGTCACTATTAATATTTGAAATTTACACAATACCGTATTGAATTATTACTTTTTAGATGGAGTGTTGCACTGTCACCCGGGCTGTAGTGCAGTGGTTTGATCTTGGCTCACTGCAATCTCTGCCTCCTGGCTTCAAGCAATTCTTCTGCCTCAGTCTCCTGAGAAGCTGGGATTACAGGTGCATGCCACCATGCACGGCCAGCTAATTTTTTTTCGTATTTTTAGTAGAGATGGGTTTTCTCCATGTTGGCCAGGCTGGTCTCAAACTCTCGACCTCAGGTAATCCACCTGCCTAGGCCTCCCAAAGTGCTGGGATTACAGGCATAAGCCACCATGCCTGGCTAAATTTTTTTTTAAATGGGGCAGTACCCCCAAATCAAGAATAAATTCAGAGAGACTTCCTGTCTTGTCTTTCCACCTCTCTTCTACCTGAATCTTTGTGGAGAAGGCAGGATACTTGGTGAATAGAAAAATGAAGGATGAGAAAGCACTTCCACCGTTCCCTCCTCACTCCCTGATGCTCACCACAGTTTCCGGAGTCTGCAGGTGGGATGTTGCAGCCCCTCGGCCAGCAGCCACAGGCCCCAGTCTCCCAGGTCGTTGAAGCTCAGGTCCAGCTCCTGGAGGTGGTGGTTGGCCTGGAGCACGGTAGAAAGACCCTCACAGGCGGCAGCACCCAGCCGGCAAATGCCCAACCTGCAAAGACAGGATGCCAGAGCGGACTGGGAAGCATTCTTCTTGCAAACACCTGCTGGGAGGGCCCTGCGTCAATCCTGTGCTGGTTGCAGATAGGGACACGCTCAGTCTTTACCTTTGAGAGGACAAAAAGATGAGACCAAAGTAGGAAGATGAAAGGAAGGGAGGAATACAAGAACAGAAGGAGGCCGGGCATGGTGGCTCACACCTGTGATCACAGCACTGTGGGAGGCCGAGGCGGGCAGATCACAAGGTCAGGAGTTCAAAACCAGCCTGATCAACACGGTGAAACCCCGTCTCTACTAGAAACAAAAATTAGTTGTCTGAAAGGGTTGATATCTAGAATTTACAAAGAACTAAAACAGATTTACAAGAAAAAAACAAGCCCATTCAAAAGTGGGCAAAGGATATGAACAGATACTTTGCAAAAGAAGACATACATGAGGCCAACAAACATGAAAAAATGCTCATCAGCACTGGTCATCAGAGAAATGCAAATCAAAACTACATTGAGATACCACCTCACACCAGTTAGAATGGCGATCATTAAAAAATCTGGAGACAACAGATGCTGGAGAGGATGTGGAGAGATAGGAACACTTTTACACGGTTGGTGGGAGTGTAAATTAGCTCAACCATTGTGGAAGACAATGTGGCGATTCCTCAAGGACCTAGAAATAGAAATTCCATTTGACCCAGCAGTCCCATTACTGGCTATATATCCAAAGGATTATAAATCATACTACTATAAGGACACGTGCACACAAATGTTCATTGCAGCACTGTTCACAATAGCAAAGACCTGGAACCAACCCAAATGCCCATCGATGATAGACTGGACAGGGAAAATGTAGCACATATACACCATGGAATATTATGCAGCCATCAAAAACGATGAGTTTGTGTCCTTTGTAGGGACATGGATGAACCTGGAAACCATCATTCTCAGCAAACTGACAGAAGAACAGAAAATCATCAGCTGGGCATGGTGTTGCGTGCCTGTAATCCCAGCTACTCAGGAGGCTGAGGCGGGAGAATTGCCTGAACCCAGGAGGCGGAGGTTGCGGTGAGCCGAGATCGCGCCATTGCACTCCAGCCTGGGTAACATGAGTGAAACTCCGTCTCAAAAAAAAAAAACAGAAGAACAGAAAATCAAACACCGCATGTTCTCACCCATAGGCGGGTGTTGAACAATGAGAACACATGGACACAGGGAGGGGGAGCACTACACACTGGGGTCAGTTGGGGGGAAATAGGGGAGGGACGGTGGGGGTGGGGAGTTGGGGAGAGATAGCAAGGGGAGAGATGCCAGATGTAGGTGATGGGGAGGAAGGCAGCAAATCACACTGCCATATGTGTACCTATGCAACAATCTTGCATGTTCTTCACATGTACCCCAAAACCTAAAATGCAATAAAATAAATTTTAAAAAAAGTTAGTTGTCTGGTGGCGTGCGCCTTAAGTCCCATCTGCTCAGGAGGATGAGGCAGGAGAAATGCTTGAACCTGGGAGGCAGAGGTTGCAGTGAGCTGAGACTCTACCAGTGCACTTCAGCCTGGGCAACAGAGCAAGACCCCTCACAAAAAAAAAAAAAAAAAAAAGCAAATAAGGCCAGGCATCATGCTTATGCCTGTCATTCAGCATCTTGGTTGGAAGGCTGAGGCAGGAGAATTACTTGAGGCCAGGAATTTCTGACCAGTTTGGGCAACCAACAACTTGTTTCTACAAAAAATTTTTTTGAGACAGAGTTTGACTTTTGTTGCCTGGGCTGCAGTGCAATGGTGCGATCTTGGCTCACTGCAGCCTCCGCCTCCCGAGGTCAAGAGATTCTCCTGCCTCCGCCTCCCAAGTAGATGAGACTACTGACATGTGCCACCATTAATTACATATTTTTAGTAGAAGTGCAGTTTTGCCATATTGATCAGGCTGGTTTCCAACTCCTGACCTCAGGTGATCCACCCACCTCAGCCTCCTGTCTTCAAAAAGATTTTAAGAAATTAGCTGGTGCTGGCCAGGGGCGATGGCCCATTCCTGTAATCCCAGCACTTTGGGATGCTGAGGCCTGGCCAACATGGTGAAACCTTGTCTCTACTAGAAATCCCAAAAATTAGCTGGGTGTGGTGACACACATCTGTAGTCCCAGCTGCTCAAGAGGCTGAGGTGGTTCAGTCACTTGAACCCAGGAGGTGGAGGTTGCAGTGAGTCCATATTTTGCCACTGCAGTCCAGCCTGGCCAATAGAATGAAACTCTTCCTCCAAAAAAAAAACAAAAAACAAAAAAACAACAAAAAAAACGACATTATTTGGGGCCAGGCAGGGTGGCTCATGTCTGTGATCCCAGCACTTTGGGAAGCCAAGGGAGGTAGATGACAGAGGGCAGGAATTAGAGACCAGCCTGGCCAAACCCTGGCTCTACCAAAAATGGAAAAAGCAGCCAAGCGTGGTGGTGTGTGTCTGTAATCCCACTAAAGAGGCTGAGGTGGAGAAGTGCTTGAACCTGGGAGGTGGAGGTCGCAGTAAGCCAAGATCGTGCCACCGCACTTCAGCCAGCATGACGGAGTGAGACTCCAAAAAGCAGACAGTTTGCTGGACACGGTGGTGTGTACCTGCATTCCCAACTACTACTGTGGAGGCTGACGTTGGAGGATCCCTTGACCCCAGCAGTTGGAGGCTGTGGTTCACTGTGACCCCACCTGTGAGTAGCCATTGGACTGCAGCCTAGGCAACACAGCAACAGCCCATCTCAAAAAAAAAAAAAAAAAATTTGTGCGTAATTTTGTTTTTTTGCTGTTGCCTTGATAAAAAAAAATACACAAAATGTATATTTTTGAGCACCTCTACCCACATCTTGTACTAGTCACTAGGAGATAGAGTTGGAATAGCTCCTATGCTTGTAGAATGCTACCACACACACATATACACAGATTACAAATTTATTTTTTGAGATGGAGTCTCACTCTTGTCACCCAGGCTGGAGTGCAGTGGCACAATCTCAGCTCACTGCAACCTCCGCCTCCTGGGTTCAAGTGATTCTTCTGCCTCAGCCTCCTGAGTACCTGGAATACAGGTGCCTGTCACCATGCCCGGATAGTTTTTCTATTTTTTTTTTTTTTTGAGACAGAGTCTCATTCTATCACCAGGTCCAGAGTGCAGTGGTGTGACCTCGGCTCACTGCAACCTCCACCTCCCGGGTTCAGGCAATTCTCCTGCCTCAGCATCCCGAGTAGCTGGGATTATAGGCACACGCCACCATGCCCAGCTAATGTTTTGTATTTTTAGTAGAGACGGGGTTTTACCATGTTGACCAGGATGGTCTCGATTTCTTGACCTCGTGATCCACCCGCCTCGGCCTCCCAAAGTGCTGGGATTACAGGCTTGAGCCACTGTGCCCGGCAGTAGTTTTTCTATTTTTAATAGACACGGGGTTTCACCATGTTGGCCAGGCTAGTCTCAAACTCTGACTTTAGGTCATCCACCCACCTTGGCCTTCCAAAGGGTTGTGATTACAAGGGTGAGTCCCCGAGCCCAGCCTTCAAATTTCAATAAATGGTGCTAAGGGAAAGTATGAGGTCACATAGGATCACAAATCTGGGAACCCAGATCATAGCCGGGGATTAGACGGGGTGTCCAGCTGGCTGTAGTGGCTCACACCTGGAATCCCAGCACTCTGGGGGGGCCAAGGCCCGAGGATCTCCTAAGGCCAGGAGTTTGAGACCAGCCTAGGCAACAAATCAAGACCTTATTCTTTTTAATTTTTTTTTTTTTTTTGAGACGGAGTTTCGCTCTTGTTACCCAGGCTGGAGTGCAATGGCGCGATCTCGGCTCACCGCAACCTCCGCCTCCTGGGTTCAGGCAATTCTCCTGCCTCAGCCTCCTGAGTAGCTGGGATTACAGGCACGCACCACCATGCCCAGCTAATTTTTTGTATTTTTAGTAGAGACGGGGTTTCACCATGTTGACCAGGATGGTCTCGATCTCTTGACCTCGTGATCCGCCCGCCTCGGCCTCCCAAAGTGCTGGGATTACAGGCTTGAGCCACCACGCCCGGCAAGACCTTATTCTTACAAAACAATAAGTAAAAATTACACAGGTGTTGCGCCATTGCACTCCAGCCTGGGCAACAAGAGCAAAACTCTGTCTCAAAAAAAAACTAGCCAGGTGTGGTGGTGAGTGCCCGTGCCTTCAGGCACTCAGGAGGCTGAGATGGGAGATGGGAGGACGGCTTCAGTCAGAAGGTTGAGGGTGCAGTGAACCATGATCACTTCACTGCACTCCAGCCTGGGCAGCCAGCAAGACCCTGTCTCAAGATAACAAAGTGTCTAAAGAGTGTTCTGAAGAAAAGCTGAACTCTGGGCAAAGAGGAGACATAGCAGGACCGCATTCTAGGGAACAAGAATTGCTTGTGCAAAGGGCTGTGTGTCAGAAAAAGCCTTTAACGAAGGCTGATGTGGCCGGACACAGTGGCTGACACCTGTAATCCCAGAGCTTTGAGAGGCTGAGGTGGGCAGATCATGAGGTCAGGCGTTCGAGGCGAGGCTAACCAATATCTCTAACTGTTTTTCTAATTTTGTATTTTGTAAAAATAGAAAAATTAGCCAGGCGTGGTGTTACAAGTTTATAATCCCGGCTACTCGGGACGCTGAGGCAGGAGAATCGCCTGAACCGGGGAGGTGGAGGTTGCAGTGAGCTGAGATGGTGCCACTGCACTCCAGCCTGGGCAACAGGAGCAAAACTCTGTCTCAAAATAAAAACGAAAACGCTGATGTAGGGCCAGGTGTGCTGGCTCATGCCTGTCACAGCACTTTGGGAGGCCAAGATGGGCCAATCGCCTGAGCTCAGAAGTTTGTGACCAGCCTGGGCAACATGGTGAACCCTCATCTCTACTAAAACACAAAAAATGAGCCAGGAGTGGCAGTGCGCGCCTGTAGTCCCAGCTACACAGGAGGCTGAGGCGGGAGACTTGCTTGAACCCAGGAGGCGAAGGTTGCAGCGCGCTGAGATTGTACCACCGCACTCCAGCCTGGGCAACAGAGCAAGACTCCATCTCTGCAGAGAGAAAAAGGTTGCTGGAGTAGCTAGAGTTGAGAAGCAGAGGCAGCATGGCCTCTGCAGTCCCAGGTGAGGGTCTGGGTTTGTGGATGGGGACTCACCGGAGGGTCTGGAGCTTGCAGGTGGGATGCCTGAGGCCCTCACACAGCAGCAGTGCCCCGGGGTCCCCCAGGTCATTGAGGCTGAGGTCCAGCTCCGTCAGGCTCTGGTTCACGCTGAGTGTTGAGGCCAGCCCTTCACAGGCAGCAGCAGTGAGGTGGCAGATCTTCAGCCTGCACAAAACAAAATCCAATTTAACAGCGTCATGGAGACTTACTAAATTTTGAGGCAGGGTCTCACTCTGTCCCCCAGGCTGGAGTGGAGTGGTGCAATCTCGGCTCACTGCAACCTCCACCTCCTGGGTTCAAGTGATGCTTCTGCCTCAGCCTCCCAAATAGCTGGGACTACAAACGCCTGCCACCACTCACTCCCCGCTAATTTTTGTATTTTTAGTAGAGACCGGGTTTCACCATGCTGGTGAGGCTAGTCGTAGTCTCAAGCTCCGGCCTCTCAAAGGACTGCGATTACAGGTGTGAGCCACTGGGCCCAACCCCAAAATCTTAGCAGAAATGCATTTTCAGACGATCCATTTTAAAAAGGGGCAAAAGATTCGAATATGCATTTCTTCAAGGAGGGTGTACAAATGGGCAACAGCACCTGAAAAGATGGTAGGTCTCACTAATCATTGGGGAAATACAAATCAACACCACAGTGAGATAGCATCCCATACCCATTAGGATGCCTACTTTTTTTTTTTTTTTTTTTTTGGGCCGGAGTCTCACTCTGTCACCCAGGCTAGAGTGCAGTGGCAGTATCTTGGCTCACTGCAACCTCCTCCTCCTGGGTTCAAGCAGTTCTGCTTCGGCCTCCCAAGTAGCTGGAACTACAGGTATGTACCACCATGCCCAGCTAATTTTTGGATTTTTTTTTTAGAAACAAGGTTTCACCATGTTGCCCAGGCTGGTCTCAAACTCCTGATCTCAGGTGATCTGCCTGCCTTGGCCTCCCAAAATGATGAGATTAAAGGTGTAAGCTACTGTACCTGGCCAGGATGCCTACTATTAAATGTAATGCCTATAATCCCAGCACTTTGGGAAGCCTAGGTGGGCAGATCACCTGAGGTCAGGAGTTCGATACCAACCTGGCCAACAAGGTGAAACCCTGTCTCTACTAAATCTGAAAATACAAAAAAAAAACTAGCTGGGCAAGTTGGCGGGTGCCTTTAATCCCAGCTACTTGGGAGGCTGAGGCAGGACAATTACTTCAAGAGTCACCTGTGAGGTGAAGGTTGCAGTGATCTGAGATCGTGCCACTGCACTTCAACTGGATGACAGATTGAGACTTCATCTCAAAGAAAAAAAATGAGGGAAAGAAAATAGGCCAGGCACGGTGGCTCACACCTGTAAGCCCAGCACTTGGGGAGACTGAGGTGGGCAGATCACCTGAGGTCAGGAGTTGGATACCAGCCTGGCCAACATGGTGAAAACCCACTCTACTGAAAATGTAAAAATTTGCCTGGTGTGGTGGTGAGCACCTGTAATCCCAGCTACTCAGGAGGCCGAGGCAGGAGAATCGCTTGAACCTGGGAGATGGAGGTTTCAGTGAGCTGAGATTGTGCTGCTGCACTCCAGCCTCAGTGGCAGAGCAAGACTTGGCCTAAAAAACAAAACAAAACAAAAAACGCTGACTTGGGTGCCATGCCAGCAGCTCACACCTGTAATCCCAGCACTTTGGGAGGGCAACGGAGGAGAATCCGTTGACCCAGGAGTTTGAGACCAGCCTGGTCAACATGGTATAACGCTATCTCTACAAAAAAAAAAAAAAAAAAAAAAAAAGAAAAATTAGCTTTGCAATGGTAGCACATGCCTGTAGTTGAAGCTGCTTATGAGGCTGAGGGGCAGGATGATTGCTTGAGCCCTACTGTTCTTTGTTTTTTGAGATGGAGTCTCACTGTTGCCATGGCTGGACTACAGTGGAGTGATCTTGGCTCACTGCAACTTCCGTCTCCTGGGTTTAAGCGATTCTCCTGCCTTAGCCTCCGGAGTAGCTATGAGTACAGGTATGGGCCACCCCACCCAGCTAATTTTCGTCTTTTTTTTTTTTTTGAGATGGAGTTTCGCTCTTGTTACCCAGGCTGGAGTGCAATGGCGCGATCTCGGCTCACCGCAACCTCCGCCTCCTGGGTTCAGGCCATTCTCCTGCCTCAGCCTCCTGAGTAGCTGGGACTACAGGCACGCGCCACCATGCCCAGCTTATTTTTTTGTAGTTTTAGTAGAGACGGGGTTTCACCATGTTGACCAGGATGGTCTCGATCTCTTGACCTCGTGATCCACCCGCCTCGGCCTCCCAAAGTGCTGGGATTACAGGCTTGAGCCACCGCGCCCGGCCCTTTTTTCTTTTTAAAGTATCTCTTCATCTCTTAGGCTGGAGGGCAGTGGCACAATCTTGGCTCCCTGCAGCCTCCTGGGTTCAAGCAATTGTCCTGCCTCAACCTCCCTAGTAACTGGGACTACAGGTGCCACCACGCCCAGGTAATTTTTGTATTTTTAGTAGAGACTGGGTTTCACCATGTTGGCCAGGCTGGTCTTGAATTCCTGACCTCAGGTGATTTCGCCCACCTCGGCCTCCCTGACAGCTGGGATTATAAGCGTGAGCCACCATGCCCTACCTGTGGATGCATTTTTATACCGTCATTCAGTATGAAGGGATTTGCCATTTTATTATAGTTGAGCTCAAGAAGAACTCACCACAAAGTCCGTAGTCTGCAGGCTGGGTGCCTCAGTCCCTGACACAGAAACCTCAGGCCCAAGTCCTCCAGGGCATTTCCTGTCAGGTCCAGCTCAACCAGATGTGGGTTTGTGCTGAGCACAGAGGCCATCTCCTGACACGCCCCGGACTCCAGCTGACACTTCCTCAACCTTGGGAGGAAAGAGAGGTTGAAGAGGGAGCCGTCTTGCTTTTCTGTGTCCTGATCACTCATGCCCTGGCCTGTTTATTTTATTTTATTTATTTAGACACAGAGTCTTGCTCTATCACCCAGGCTGAAGTGCAGTGGCGTGATCTCGGCTCACTGCAACCTTCACCTCCAGGGTTCAAGCAATTCTTCTGCCTCAGGCTTCTGAGTAGCTGGGATTACAGGCGCCCGCCACCCCACCTGGCTAATATTTTGTATTTTTAGTAGAGACAAGGTTTCACTGTGTTAGCCAGGATGGTCTCGATCTCCTGACCTCATGATCTGCCTGCCTCAGCCTCCAAAAGTGCAGGGATTACAGACGTGAGCCACCTCGCCTGGCCTATTTTATTATTTATTTAGAAACAGTTTCTTGCTCTGTCACCCAGGCTGAAGTTCAGTGGTATGATATCAACTCACTGAAGCGTCGACCTCTGCACTCAAGCAATCCTCCTGCATCAGCCTCCTGAGTAACTGGGAATACAGGTGTGTGCTACCATACCTGGCTAATTTTTCTTTTTGAGGTGGAGTCTTGCTCTGTTGGCCATCCTGGAGTGTAGTGTCAAAATCTTGGCTCACTGCAGCCTCCGCCTTCCGAGTAGCTGGGACTTCAGGCTGGACTACAGGCATGTGCCACCATGCCAGGCTAATTTTTGCATTTTTAGTACAGTCAGGGTTTCACCATGTTGGCCAGGCTGGTTTCAAACTCCTGACATTAGGTAATCTACCGTCTGGCCTTCCAAAGTGCTTGGATTACAGGTATGAGCCACCACTCCTGGCCCATACCTGGCTAATTAAAAAAAAGTTTTTTTTTTTTTAGGCCGGGCGTGGTGGCTCACGCCTGTAATCCAAGCACTTTGGAGGCCAAGGCGGGCGGATCACCTGAGGTCGGGAGTTCAAGACCAGCCTGACCAACCTGGTGAAACCCCGTCTCTACTAAAAATACAAAAAAAAATTTGCTGGGTCTGGTAGTGGGGGCCTGTAATCCCAGCTACCTGGGAGGCTGAGGCAGGAGAATCACTTGAACCCAGGAGGTGGAGGTTGCAGTGAGCTAAGATCGCACCACTGCACTCCAGCCTGGGCCACAGAGGAAGACCCTATCTTAGGGGGAAATAAAGGAAAGGTGGTTGGTGGGGGGGGAGTGGCCCCAGGGGTTCCTCATCATGTGGAATTGAGTGTGGAGTCAGAGGAAGACAGAAGTACGTCCTCTGAAGTGCCTAGAGTCCAGGGCCAGGGTTGAAGGTCATGGGGTTAAGGGCCAGCCCTGATTCAGAGGTGAAGATCTGGGGAGCACCAGCATTTTATATTTCATGCTCCCGGGGATGGAGACTCACTGAATCATCTGCAGCCTGCATCGGGGATGCCGCAGGCCCTCGCAAAGCAGCGTCACGCCTGGTAGTCCAATGCCATTGCCGCTGAGATCCAGCCTTGTTAGATTCTTATTGGCTATGAGAGCTGCAGAGAGGTCTTCGCAGGCTGAGCTGGAGACACCGCACCGCTTCAGCCTGGGTGGAAATAAAAAGGAACCAGTCATTGCCTTTGCTTTTTTTTTTTCTTTTTCCTGAGGTAGAGTTGCTCTGTCACGTAGACTGGAGTGCAGTGGCATGATCTTGGCTCATCCCAACCTCTGCCTCCTGTTTTCAAGCGATTCTCCTGCCTCAGCCTCCTGAGTAGCTGGGATTACAGACATGTGGCACCATGCCTGGCTAATTTTTGTATTTTCATAGAGCCAGGGTTTCACCATGTTGGCCAGGCTGTTCTCAAACTCCCAACCTCAGGGATCCGCCCGCCTTGGCATCCCAAAGTGCTGGGATTACAGGCATGAGCCACCATGCCTGGGTTTTTTTTTTCTCTCTTTTTTTATGCTACACTTTTTTCCTGTTTTTCTTTTTCTTTCCTTTTTGTGTGCGTGTGATGGAATTTCACTCCGTTTTCCAGGCTGGAGTGCAGTGGCGCCATGATGATTCACTAGGGCCTCAATCTTCTGGGCTCAAGAAACCTCCTACCTCAGCATCCTGAGTAGCTGGGACTACAGGTGCACACCACCACGTCCAGATTTTTTTTTTTTTTTTTTTTTTGAGACGGAGTTTCGCTCTTGTTACCCAGGCTGGAGTGCAATGGCGCGATCTCGGCTCACCGCAACCTCCACCTCCTGGGCTCAGGCAATTCTCCTGCCTCAGCCTCCTGAGCAGCTGGGACTACAGGCACGCACCACCATGCCCAGCTAATTTTTTTTTTGTATTTTTAGTAGAGACGGGGTTTCACCACGTTGGCCAGGATGGTCTCGATCTCTTGACCTCGTGATCCACCCGCCTCGGCCTCCCAAAGTGCTGGGATTACAGGCTTGAGCCACCGCGCCCGGCCCAGATTTTTTTTAAGATGGGGTTTCTCCATTTTGGTCACGCTGGCCTCGAACTCTTGACCTCAGGTGATCTACCCACCTTGGCCTCCCAAAGTGCTGGGATTACATTCGTGAGCCACCGAGCCTGGTTTTTTTTGTAAAGACCTTCTTTTTTTTTTTTTTTTTGGAGACGGAGTTTC